AAAAATTATTTTTGCTGCTCGTTTAAATCACTTATTTAAAATGAGCCTAAACAACACAATTATGGACATTGTTTTATGTTCAATCCACTTACATTTCTTACGTTGACACAATATATTAGTATGAATTGTGTGGAACCCTTCATTTTTAGTGTTGATTTTGTTGAATTAAATTAAAGAGCATTTTTTTAAAGTATAATATTTATTAAATATCCTCTGAATGCACCAAAAGAGCTGAATATTATCCCTGAGACTGATTATTAGTCCTGAAACCACAGAAGAATTATAGAGAAACAGCTGCAGTTCACAGGCCACACAAACACCCAGCGACAGGCGAGTCACGTGACCCAGAACACACACACACACACACACACACACACACACACACATACACACACACCCTCAAATATAGAACATGACCATAAAAAGCCACAGAATGCAAGCACAGTCCCACAAACACACACGCAAACACACACACACACTCACACACACACAGAAAGAGAGAGAGAAAAGCCAGAGGTTTAGGGCATCAGTCCAGCATCTCTCCTGAGAGCGACACACACTTCACACTGCTGACGGAGAGCGACAACGGCTAAACATAGAGTGTGTGTGTGTGTGTGTGTGAGTGAACGTTTGTAGTATTTATTTATATATGCATAAACAAAAAAACTGTATTTGAGAATTACTGCAAAGCTGTGTGTGTGTGTGTGTGTGTGTGTGTGTGTGTGTGTGTGTGTGTGTACAGTAGAGACGTCACAGAGAGTCGGCAGTCTTTTTTTGGCATATCTAATTCAGGTTGAGCGTTTTTCCATTCAGATTTGTGGGAATCCATGTGAAGAAAAACCCCTTCAGTTCTGCACTGCGGCTCTCTGTCTTTATTTGACTATTGGATTTATTAAACAGATATATTTATTAATGCATGTTCTACAAGTGTCGGCGTGGGTTTCCTCCAGGTGCTCCGATTTCCCACACAGTCCAAACACATGCGCTATAGGAGAACTGATGAACTAAACTGGCCTAGTATGTGTGTGTCTGTGTGAATAAGTGTATATGGGTGTTTCCCAGCAATGGGTTGCAGCTGAAAGGGCATCCGCTGTGTAAAACATATGCTGGAATAGTTGGCGGTTCATTCCGCTGTGGTCACCCCTGATGAATAAGGGGACTAAGCCGAAGGAAAATAAATCATATTTTAGTCAGCGAACATTATTAGAAATAGAAAGAGATTACTTTAAATATTGCAAAAAAAGTCACAAACTATAACATTTCAACTAGACTGCTATTTATACTTTGATTCTTTTGATTTTTGCTCTTTATAAATAATTTTACTTAATTAATTTCCTCCCAAACATATATATTTGGGTGTGCTGGTTTTTTTTTTTACCATTATTGTAAGTTATTTTGTTAGATGAGCTCCAGACTTGGCTTCAGTACTGACTAATCTAATGTATATGCACATATATAATATTGTAGAGCTTCCATTAGAAAATTGAAAATATTTGATTAAATGAGAGATTTGTGAGGGGTGAAGTCATATATGTTGAGCATTGTGTGTGTGTGTATTATGCATATATATGTATATATATATATATTTATATATATATATAGATAGATATATATACATATATATATATATATATATATATATATATATATATATATATATATATATATATATATATATATATATACATACACATATATACACACACATAAATACATACATATATACATATACACAGTTGAAGTCAGAATTATTAGCCCCCTGTTTATTTTTTTCCCCAATTTCCGTTTAACAGAAAGCAGATTTCAGATTCAGCACATTTCTAATCATAATAGTTTTAATAACTCATCTCTAATAACTGATTATATTAGACTAGATATTCTTCAAGACACTAGTATTCAGCTTAAAGTGACACTTAAAGGCTTAACTAGGTTAAATAGGTTAGGGTAATTAGGCAAGTTATTGTATTACGATTATCAAGAAAAATTTAGCTTAAAGGGGCTAATAATTTTGACCTTAAAACGGTTCATAAAACAAATAAGACTTTCACTGGAAGAAAAAATATTATCAGACATACTGTAAAAATTTCCTTTCTCTGTTAAACATAATTGGGGAAATATTTAAAAAAGAAAAATTTCAAAGGGGGTTTAATAATTCTGATTGCATATAGATAAATGAATATATATATATATATATATATATATATATACACAGTGCTCAGCATATATAAGTACACCCCTCACAAATCTCTCATTTAAGGTAATATATTCTACAGGAAGCTTTACAATATTACATCTGGTGCTAGTCTAACTAAATAACTTACAATAACGGTCCAAAAACTAGTACACCCAAATTTGTATGTTATATAAAAATATTAAATGCAAATTTTAAAAAGAGAAAAGAAAATAAAGAGAAGCAAAAAATAGTTTCTTTTTTTTTTTTTTTGCAATATTTTGCTTGAATTTAATTTCTAAATATGTTTGCTGACTAAAATATTATTTGATTAAATATATCTTTTTAACAAATCTGTTTTGTTTAAATGCACCAAAATACACTGCCTATATTTACTGAGAAATGGAGAAAAGTATTCATTTTCAAAATGGAGTGTACTCGATTATGCTGAGCATTGTATATATATATATATATATATATATATATATATATATATATATATATATATATATATATATATATATATGTATATATATAAACACAGACACATCCATAAAAACAAATCTATATAAAATAAAAATATTTTTAATAATTACTTTACATTTGTATATGTAATTTTGCATTATCTACAATTAAAAGCGAATAACTGTGATTTATAAATTAAATTAAATAAATAATATATACATTTTTACTATTTGTCAACATTTTTATGTGATGTTTAATGGAGTATGGAAATGCTTTCACAGAATTTCCTGATATATTTTTTTCTTCTGGAAAAAAATCCTTATATTTTAAATTTGGCTGGAATAAAAATAATTTAAAACTGCTCAGTAACAAAATACGTTCTGGATTCTTACAGAACAAACCACTGTTATACAATGACTTACCTAATTACCCTAGCTTTACCCTAATTACCCTAGTTAAGCCTTTAAATGTCACTTGAATGACGCTGAATACTAGTATCTGGAAGAATATCCAGTCAAACATTATGTGCTGTCATCATGGCAAAGAGAAAATAAATGAGTTATTAAAACTATTATTTTTAGAAATGTGTTAAATAAAATCTTCTGTTCATTAAATATCACATGGGAAATACTTGAAATAATAATTATAATAATAATAATTCACATTAGGGCGACTCATTTTGTCTTCAGCAGAATTTTTTTGTATCGTTCAGTTCATCACTCTTGTGTTTATTGGCCCACGTCTGATTCTCCATCCTGCTCTCGACCAATCAGCTGAGGCTTGAGATCTTCTTCCTGTTTGGGATCGCGAGGTGCAGTCCGATGTCATGACATCACGCGGCCCCTGGTTTCCACCCCGTCGCCGCTGTGTGTGAATGCGCCGGGAATGTGTCGCATTGGCACTTTTTTAACACGGAGAGGTAATCCCTATGTGAACAGAAGCAGACTCGCATGGCTGAACACACGAGAGGCCCACAGCAACACCGCACACAGATTTAAAGGGACAGCTCACACAAAAACTACAACTCTGTCACCATTTGCTTTCTCTTTACTTGGTCCTGATTGACTTTCTTTTGTTGAAGACAAAGTTGAACAAAGCATGAGTGCTACTCTACTGCAAGGCGGAAACGTCAAAGCTAAAAGACCAACTCAAAACTAATGAACTTTCTCTCGAATTGAAGCACCTAAGACTGCTTTTATTTTCAAAATATTTCCTTCATTCATTTTCCTTCGGCTTAGTCCTTTAATTCATTAGAGGTCACCACAGCGGAATGAACCGCCAACTTTTTCAGCATATGTTTCCCACAGCGGATGCAACTTTAAAACTGAACTATGCTGTTTCAATTTACTATGGTCTTTTATGCGAAGCTGCTTTGGCTCAATCTACATCGTAAAAGCGCTATACAAATGAAGGTGAATTGAATTTAATTAATTTTACAATTAAAAAATTAATTATAAGAGTAAATCTATTTGGATTTTACTCCACCAAACAGTCATTTCTTTCAGTGTAGTAGAGCTGCAAGATATTGGAAAACAGTGCAACATTTAGTTTTTCTGCTGTATACACTAGAGGTCAGAATTAAAAGCCCTCCTGTTAAATCTGAAATCTTTTATATTTTCCCCAGTTTATGATTAACGGAGAGAAGACATTTATAATCATAATAGTTTAAATAACTCATTTCTAATAACTGATTTATTTGATATTTGCCATGATGACAGTAAATAGTATTTGACTAGATATTCTTCAAGATACTAGTATTTAGCTTAAAGTGACATTTAAAGGCTTAACTAGGTTAATTAGGGTAAAGTTAGGGTAATTACACCCACACCGCTTCTCAATCATGAGGGGGGTCTCTCCACACCAATACCAGTGTGCAGCATCCACTTAGATCATGTGACAGCAGCCACAGGACAACAGCACCAGCGCTTCACCACACACCAGCTATAGGTGAAGTGGAGAGTGAGTAATAGAGGCAATACGGTAGATGTGGATGATCGGGGGGCCATGATGGGTAAGGGTCGATGGAGGGAATTTGATCAGGACACCGGGGTTACACCTCTACTCTTTACCAGAAGTACCATGGGATTATTAATGACCACAGAGAGTCAAGTTCTCGGTTTAACGTCTCATCCGAAAGACGGCGCTCACTGACAGTATAGTGTCCCCTTATCTATACTGGGGCATTAGGACTCATCCAGACCGCAGTATTAATATTAATAATATTATTTAAGATACAGATCAGAGGATCTATTTCTCACTATTTAAAGGGTTTACATTTATTTTTGACATCCTTCAAGGGAAATCAGGTGTTAATTAGGGAGGTTAAATCCTACCAAACCCCTTTTAATTAGCACCCTTATTGTACCTTTGCTGGCTCCTGGTGTGTCATGGCCATTTTGAGGAGAGTGCGCTGAACCTGCAGAGCATTATTCACCATCTCAGCCTGAAACAAAGAAAACAAGATTAGCATTTTTGGCATAGTTATTTAAATGTGCACAGAATGTGTATCATATTCAGTTGAAGTCAAAATTATTATTTTTTTTTCATTTTCAAATATTTCCCAAATGATGTTTAACAATTTCCCAGAGATGGGTTGCGGCTGGAAGTGCATCCGCTGCGTAAAAACTTGCTGGATAAGTTGGCGGATCAATCCGCTGTGGCGACCCCGGATTAATAAAGGGGCTAAGCCCAAAAGAAAATGAATGAATGAATGATGTTTAACATCATTTAATATATTTTCTTCTGGAGAAAGTCTTCTTGTTTTGTTTTGATTCAGCTAGAATAAAAGTGTAGATTGCTTTTAAACCATTTTAAGGTCAATATTATTAGCGCCCTTAAGCAATATTAGTTTTGGATTGTATAGCAGTGGTTTGTTCTGGAGACAATGACTTGCCTAATTACCCTAACTTTACCCTAATTACCCTAGTAAAGCCTTTAAATGTCACTTTAAGCTGTATAGAAGTATGTTGAATAACATCTAGTCCAATATTATGGGCTGTCATCATGACAAAGATAAAATAAATCAGTTATTAGAAATTAGTTAGGGCTAATAATTCTGACTTTAACTGTATATCCTCTGTCCTGCCACAATGCAGCAACCCGCTCGCGCATAACACACACTCAGACCCCGTTTACACCTACACGCCTTAGTTTTAAAATGGCATATTAGAACAAAAACGATCCACATCCAGACTGGCGTTTCACCTAACAATTCTAAACAGATCTCCCTTCACACCTTACTCTTTGCAGATGAGCGGGCGCAGCCATTTAAATCTTTTTGGCTCGAGACTTCCGGTCTCATTCACTTCTATTCATTTTTAGACGTTAAAAACTGCTCGTTTCGCTGTTTGATGTTGCAAACTGATATTTCCTTATTCTCATATTTCCTTAATCTACCTGGATGTATATAATCATGCAAACATTTATTTGTAGAGTAAGTAGTTTGACCGTTTTCTGCCGTTTATTATTCCAAGTCATTTCTCCCATAATCGGAAAGTCTAAAGCAGGGGTGTCAAACTCAATTCCTGGAGGGCCGAAGCCCTGCACAGTTTAGTTCCAACCCTGCTCCAACACACTTACCTGTAGGTTTCAAATAAGCCTGAAGGACTCAATTAGTTTGATCAGGTGTGTTTAATTATGGTTGGAACTAAACTGTGCAGAGCTGCGGCCCTCCAGGAACTGAGTTTGACACCTGTGCTCTAAAACAATCGCGAAAACAGGCTTTTGTTGAAACCTCTTCTTGGTCGGTCACAAATTTTTAAAAATGCATTAACGGGCAGCGCCTTACCCTGGAGTTTGTACACCCTCCGGCTGTGCATATTCATGCATTATGACAAAAAAAACTTTTATTTAGGATGCGATTAGTCTTCGCCCAGCACTAATTATTCATTCATTAATTTTCTTGTCGGCTTAGTCCCTTTATTAATTCGGGGTCGCCACAGCGGGATGAACCGCCAACTTATCCAGCAAGTTTTTACGCAGCGGATGCCCTTCCAGCCGCAACCCAGCTCTGGGAATCATTCACACACACACTCATACACTACGGACAATTTAGCCTACCCAATTCACCTGTACCGCAAACTCCACACAGAAACGCCAACTGAGCCGAGGTTCGAACCAGCGACCTTCTTGCTGTGAGGCGACAGCACTACCTACTGCGCCACTGCCTCGCCCCAGCACTGATTATTATTTTTAAGTTAGATTTTAAAATATACATAAAAGTGTCGGCGCCAGTGGTGTAGTGGTTAGTGTGTTGACACATGCACTCCGGTGCTCGCGGCGACCCGGGTTCGATTCCGCCTCGCGGTACTATGCCGATCCTTCCCCTCTCTCTGCTCCCCATGCTTTCCTGTCAATTCTCTCTACTGTCCTGTCAAAAATAAAGGTGAAAACCCCGAAAAATAATTATAAAAAATATACATAAAAGTTAGTAACATAAAGATCAGCCCAAGTGACAGAAAATACCAAAGCCTTGAAGAAACCTCCTAAACGGGACAGAACTGAGCCCTCGAATGCACACAAATTGAGGCAAATCCACACACAGGCCTGTTTGACCGTAAAAGGCTGTGAACACAGAGATAAATCCCTCTCCTCCAGCACTGATGAGGAGCTGAGATTGGCCAACACTGCCTTTGGAGGTAAACGCTCTTCACTAGAGTTATAATGGCTGATTCCCACACCTCCAGGTTCAGAAGGTCAGCTCTGCATGAATGCTGCTGGTTAAAGCTTGATCATCAGCCTGCACTTGGAGAAATGGAGACGGGATAGCAGCTCTTTAAGGCTCACTCATGACTGAAGAGGATTAAATAAACTGCACAATGATGTTTTAATACATTTAGATGTACAGTAGGGTTGGGGTTATTTCGATAATGGAGCTAAATCAATACTTTTAAAGTGGTACCGGTGTCTGAACCAATACTAATGAAGAATTACCATGCTTGTAAATATTTAGGATGCGCACACAGGCCAAAAAAAAAAAAAAAAAAAAAAAAGCGGGAGCGCTACTTTACAGCGAGGGAATGACATCTGACGTGGTACAGGATTTGTTGTTGTCTTAGAAATAAGATATATTGACTACAATGGGCTCTATTTTGACGGTCCATGCGCACAGCGCAAAAAGCAGGGCGCAAATGCTTTCAGGGTGTGTCAGGACGCGTTTTTGCTAATTTAAGGACGGGAAATCTGCCTTGCGCTTCGGTGCATGGTCTAAAAGGGTTAAGTTTATTTTCTTAATGAGTTATAGGTGTGTTTTAAGAATAAACCAATTACAGTGTCATCTCCCATTCCCTTTAAGAGTCAGCTGCGTTGCGCCAAGAGTGCATTCGCTATTTACAGGAAGTCTAAGTGGAAAAGCAAGTCTAAGTGGAAAAAATTAGCATTTCACTAGCAAACAGTTCACAGTTGACAGTTTTTTAACAGAAAACTGTTAAACAGAGCATCTCCTGCATGAGAATGAGAGATAATGGATCACTTTCACTTTCGCTCTTGGATAGGGAAACCTTTACGCACAGACATCAATTAGTCTATAAATAATTAATTTTGTTTGTTAAGTGCATATATTCGTTTTAAAACTATTTCTAAATTCAGTTCTAATTTCCAGCAAACGAATAAATGAATAATAATAGCAAAATGTGCTCAAAAACCTGAGTTATATCCTAAAACACATGCTGTGCCCCATTTGGTCTAAAACCTGACAGGTGGGCAAATCTAAGCTTGTTTTTAATAAAACAAATATAAATATGGATATAATAAATAACACTGCTAATAATAATAACATTATACAAAAGCAAATTGTTATGAATGAACTGAAAAAGCCTCCCGAGATGAAGAAGACATAAAAGCAGTGATTTTTCATATTTATGTCGGCTAGAAAATAATATGTTTTGTAATATTTTAATCCTTTATATTTATATTCTATATCTATTCTTATTTTATCCTATATATATCCTTAATATTTAAATTTTTTCATATGTAAAGATATTTGCCTATTGCTCTCTTGTGTGTATTAAGCAGTGTGTAAGCGAGGCGCAACTCTGCGCTGGAGTTTAGACCGGGTTAGTTTTGGTCCAATGAAAAATCTATTATAGTTTCTCAAAATAGCAACGCGCCAGCAGAACGCCTCTGAACGCCTCCCTTATTAGACCAGAACGCCTATGGGTGCACAAATGAGCGCTAATGCATTTGCTATTTAAACAGCGTAGCGCAACGCCTCAAAACCACTCTTGCGCCAAGTTGAAACTACCTAAAGACTACTGCGTCACGCCTTCTACCACACTGCGCCGAGTGTATGATAGGGCCCAATATGTTTACATGGTAGACTCTTAATCAGAGTATTGTCAGAGAATAGAATAACATTGGAATAAAATGCTATAACTTGTTTAGGGAATGGTGTATGTAGACAAACTTTATTTTGGAAGTATAAAACATCATAGCATGTATTTCTAAAGAAAAAAAATAAACTTCATGAGGTTTTGTTTGTACTAACTAGAAAATGACACATTTTTTAAAACCGTGTTTCTTAAAATTCTGGAATATTTTCTGTCTGTTCATATGTTTTTGGACCAAAAAAATTTTTAGACTGGACCTTTAAATGATACAGATTGAAGCTTCGGTTCTCCTGTTTAAAATAATATATGACACTTGAGGCAGACTGCTAAAAATGAAAATAAAAACTACTTTAAAAAAAATTAATAATATAGGCTCATTAGGTGCTCACAAAATACCTCTAGGTCTTTAAGGGTTAAGGATGTTGCATATTATTCTGCAATCTTAAGGAAAGTGTTAACTGTTTCAGAACATAAGAGCAAGTAATAAAATTCAGCCTATATTTGGTTGCGCTCAGCAGCTTTTCACAAAGCTCTTCATGTAAATTTCATTTTTAAATTTTAGCAAGTCATATAAAAACATCAACACATGTTTGAGGACACAGAACACATTTTGTATTTGCAGTTTCCCCCGATGCGTTTATAAAGAGGCGCTGCAAGACAGAAAAAAAATGTCCTAGTTTCTGCTTTCACTCACCCAAAAATGCTCTGTTTGCAGGATTTGAGTAATATCACCGTATCCAAATACTTTATAAACAATATTCAAACCTCCTCCGGTGTTTATTGTTTTTAAAGATTATTATGCGTTATTGAAACATCAAGGAGGACGCAGCAAAGAATGTCACTTTTAAATAAAAACTTTATTATTTTATGTAACAGCCTTACAAATACAGTCTATAAGGCTAGATGTTTTCTTTCCCTTATTTTGTTTTATGTGTTTGGCGCATGTACTCGTGTGCGATCGGAAAACTGTGTCCGCCTCTCCTTTCACTCCGCTCTGAAGCCCCAGCTGGCCTCTTTGGCCCAAGGTATTCGGCGGCAGAAAAAGGCCGGCCGCTGGCCCCGAGAAAGCCTCACTTTGGCCCCATTAGGCCCCGGAAGTGACAGTGGAAACGCGACTGGACTTGGCTCGCCCTGGCTCACTCGCTTTAGGTGCGATAGTGGAAACGTGGCACCAGGTTTCAGTACCCAACCCTATTTTTTTTTGGTGTATTTTAATAATGTTTTTAGGTCTCATTCGTGTCACTTTATTGTTCAAATTACAATACAATTTTTTTAAAATTTGTAACACAGTTTGTAATTGCAGTTTCCCCCGATGCGTTTATAAAAAGACGCTGCAGGACAGAAAAAAAGGTCACCTAGTTTCTGCTTTCACTCACTAAAAAATGCTCTGTTTGCATGATTTGATTAATATCACCGTATCCAAATACTTTATAAATAATATCCAGACCTCCTCCGGTGTTTATTGTTTTTAGAAAATATCGAAAATCTTTTTTTTTTCTAGAATGTAAAATGAAAGTTTATTATGGCTTAAAAAACGGTTTGATTTATGTATTGTATATACGCTACCTAAATTGTCATAGCTAGCTTTTCTTTGTTTTATATTGGTTTATTTATTTAATGTGATTTTATCATATCCGACATTTGTAATTCTTTAAATTATTTCAATACAGCTTATTTTATGAAGATATGACACTATTGTTTTGAGTCTACAAAAGTGGACACGTCAATTTTTAAGTTTCTTAACAACGTCTTTCTGTTGTATTCGTATTGTGCATATCTGAAAAATAAATAACAAAAAGAAAACAGCCGCTCGCGACATCAACAGAGCTGTGAAGGGAGCGCTCTTTTGCTCGGTCTCACACACACATACAGGCATCTAAACACGCACAAACACACCTATTAAACTTGACAAAACCTCTTGAAAACCTTTACTATCTGCTGTCTTTAATATGGTGTAAAGATTATTATGCGTTATTGAAACATCAAGGAGGACGCAGCAAAGAATGTCACTTTTAAATAAAAACTTTATTATTTTATGTAACAGCCTTACAATTACAGTCTATAAGGCTAGATGCTTTTTTCCCTTATTTTTTTATGTGTTTGGCGCATGTACTCGTGTGAGATCGGAAAACTGTGTCCGCCTCTCCTTTCACTCCGCTCTGAAGCCCCAGCTGGCCTCTTTGGCCCAAGGTATTCGGCGGCCGAAAAAGGCCGGCCGCTGGCCCCGAGAAAGCCCCGCTTTGGCCCTATTAGGCCCCGGAAGTGACAGTGGGAACGCGACTGGCCTTGGCTCACTCGCTTTAGGCGCGATAGTGGAAACGCGGCACCAAGTTTCAGTACTCAACCCAATTTTTTTCTAGTGTATTTTAATAATGTTTTTAGGTCTTATTCGTGTCACTTTATTGTTCAAATTACAATACAATTTTGATTCATTTAATTAACACACATATACTAGCACTCTCTCTCACACACAGTTACACACACTCACTATCTTTCTTTCTCTCTCAAACACACACAATCACACACACACACACACACACACACTCCATCATACTTACACACACAAACACACAGTCATTTCTCAACTCTTATTATCCTCCTAGAGAAATGTTTCCTCTCTGCGCTGATCTTGAGGAGCTCCAGTGGCCACAAAGAGGACTCATACATCTCTCTCTCTCTCTTTCTCTCTTACTCTCCATCTCCATCTCTCTCCTCTCATAATATTACATTCCAGCAGCAGAAAAAGTCTGTGTGTGTGTGTGTGTAGGCCCAGCCCTAAGCAATTTGGCACCCTAGGCAAGATTTCAGGTGGCGCCCCGTCACATCGCAGTAACTTCCACTGCTGGTGTAGTCATAAGAAACTAAATCGCTTTTTGATCGACAACTACAAGCTGGGAAAACGTCAGATAAATATGCCAATGCAATTAACATTAATGCTGAATAAATCTAATATTTACACATTTGCTTGAGGAAGAACTGATGAGGGTAGTTACATTACTATTACTGTTTTCCATAACATCTATGCCCTTCCATAACATTAGCTGACGTCAAAACTAACAGATAGCACTATAGCTATTTATTGATTAGCAATCTGTCAACGTTGGGATGTAAAAAATATGGGACAACAAATAGCTTCAAATGATAGAGACATAGCAAACATTAGAAAATATTGACAATAAAATAAAAGGTTTAGCCAATTAAAATCAATGGCCTATCCAGAAATTATAAAGCTATAAAATCTATTTCACTTTTAATTGTATTTGCGTATTGATTAAAGTTACTATAGTTTTAGAGAAGAGCAGCAGATGAATCTCTCATTGTGTTTTGTTTGATAACAGAGGTGTTAATGTGAGAATGCACAGATCTATAATGAAGCATTCGACTTCTTTAGTAACTTTGTGCTCATTTAAGAGAAAATTTGTTGTTTTTAAAATAAAACACGCAGGACGGAGCAAAAAAAACAAAAAAAAGAAGCACTTTTCCGATGGTCCCTTACCGGCTTAAATGGAGCAGTGGTCGAAATGTTGAGCGAAAAAAAAGAAAAAGACACCTGTGAAACATAACCAGCTTTACTCTAAACACACTTTAGATCAGGGGTGTCCAAACTACAGCCCGCGGGTCATCTGCGGCCCGCCATCAGTTTTGTGACGGCCCACGAGGCTTTTGATAAATATTAATAGAATCTGGCCCGCTAAACAAAAATGAACATAATTCAATAAATAACCACCGGGTGTCGCTATGACATGCCTTCAATTAGGCAGCAGTTCCTGTTATGACACAAAACGAACCAAAAAAACTGAAGGAAACATAATTGATAACATTTTGATTCACATTTTGGCAAGCCATGGCGAAACCAAGAAAAAGGAAAATCCACAGTGAGCGCAGGAAATTTCAGTCACGTTGGGGAAAAGAATATGTGTTTAATTTGCCAGGAATCAGTTGAAGTAATGAAGGAATTTAATATTAAAATACATTATGAAACAAAACATCAGGCCTTCAGCTCTTACACTGGTGCCGAACAAGATCAAAAAGTAAAACAATTAGCAGCTGCCCTATCAGCTCAACAACAGCAGTTTTTTCATGCTAATAAAGTGCAAGAAAATTCTACACTGGCTAGTTATGATATTTAGTTATGATATATATATATATATATATATCTGTGTAAAATTTGGCCCGGGACAACTTTTTTTTTTTTTTTTTTTTTGCATCAGGCCCTCGGCCAAAAAAGTTTGGACACCCCTGCTTTAGATCTTTTTAGGGTAAGAGGTTATTGAGTTATTGCCGTCTATCACTGAACGTGTCAGGAATACCGAAAACAAAACCAACTTAACCGTGCTCATTTCTGGCGCCCCCCTGGATGTACAGCGCCCTTAGCATTAATTCTGCCCTTAGCACTATACTGCCTATGCCACGGGCCGGCCCTGTGTGTGTGTGTGTGTGTGTGTGTGTGAAATATGAGGACATTGGTAACATACTCATTTCTCAAAATGCTTATAAATCCCATAGGGTGAGTTTAATCTGAGAGTAAAGCTGCACACTGTCTCCTGAGATGGTTGGGTTTAGGGGTGGGGTGAGGGCAATATAATATACAGTTTGGACAATATAAAATGAATGGAAACCTATGTAATGTCCCCGCTTTTCACAAAAACAAACATGTGTGTGTGTGTGTGTGTGTGTGTGTGTTCAGCACATTGTCCACCGATCCACCATGACAAATAAGCCACAAATGTATCTACAGGCCCTCAAAAACAAAAAGCAGCTTGTGTTACGACCAAAGCGCTCGCTGACAAATGGCTGATTGTGAGCGACTGCGCCCACACTCTACAGCACACTTCTGCAGACAGCAAGTCCAGTCATTTACAGCCATGAGAAAAAGTTTGGACATTCAAATATCTCCATATCAGGAAACTTTCATCAAAATCTTATTACAATATTAAGCAGAACAAGACCTTTAATGGGGCGGCATGGTGGTTCAGTGGTTAGCACTGTCACCTCACAGCAAGAAGATCGCTGGTTTGAGTCCCAGCTGGGTCAGTTGGCGTTTCTGTGTGGAGTTTGCATGTTCTCCTCTTGTCCGCATGGGTTTCCTCCGGGTGCTCCGGTTTCCCCCACAGTCCAAACACATGCGCTACAGGGGAACTGATTAACTAAATTGGCCGTAGTGTATGAGTGTGTGTGAATGAGAGAGTGTATGGGTGTTTCCCAGTACTGGGTTGCAGCTGGAAAGGCATCCGCTGCGTAAAACATATGCTGGATAAGTTAAGAACTAAGCTGAATGAAAATGAATGAATGATTGTTGCGTGTCAGACAGCACCAACATGGTCCCCAGCTGTCGTAATGTTATGATTATAACAGAAGTCAATGGAGCAGGAACAGCCACCAACATACCCAAAGGGGAGTCAATTTGCAAGTGTATCTATTGAAAAAGTCTTAAAGTATGTGTCAAAATAAGACGCCCAAAATTTATTTTAAGGCCAAATTAAGTCTCAAAATCACCCCAGAGTGGCTTAAAACACCCCAACAAGGGTTAAAAACATGAAAAAAAACAATGTTTACACTTTTAATCAGAGTATTGTATTAATCATATTAAAATTAAAGCATAGGTGTCCGTGTAAACGTATTCAGTGTGAGCCAGGCTTCAGTTCTGTAGGATTGTGGTAGCTCCAGTGGCTCCAGAGAAGCCGATTGTCAAATATAGCAGGGTAATGTGAAGCCGGATTCGCAGCAGCTGTGAGCCCTGAGTCGTACTTCACTACTGTAAACTAAGAGCTCTTACAGGAGAATGAGTTCACTCCTGTATTATCTGCCTCTGCTCATCCTCCATCTGTAAAATCAGCACAGACAGATATTTACAGTCACTCAGACTTACATGCTTCGCTACGTCTCCACCAATCGCAGCACTGGACTGCACATATTCAGACACCGAGCCGCTCAGCAGACGGTCAAACGCCTCCATGCTCTGGGATTCACCTTCAGGAGAAACACAGAGAAAAATGGGACAAGAGTTAACAGAATATTCAGTTCATTAAACACATAGTTTTACAGAATAAACCATATAACGAAAGATGCTTTGAAATGCTAATAAAAATGAAATAAAATATACAATTAAATATGAAATAAATCTAAATAAAATTATATTCAAATAAAATAATATATATATAATATATATATAACTAAATAAAACATAACTAAAAAGAATTAAATAAAAAAATTATAAAAAACAACAAAATAAAATAAAATAAATAAATAAATAAAATATAAAATAAAGTATCAAATAAAATATAAATAAAATTAAATAAAATATCAAATAAAATACAAAATAAAATAAAATACAACTAAATAAAATAAAACATAAAATAAAATAAAAAATAAAAAATAAAATAAAATAAAAAAATAAAATAATAAACTAAAATAAAATAAATATTTAAATTTAACATTACTTAAATTATAACCATAATATTACAATAAAATAAAAAACTATTAATTTTTTTTTAATTATCAAAATCAAATGCATTTAATAATTCCAGTATGTGAATAAACAATAAATTTGTAACAATAAAATAAAATCTTGTTAATAATAAAAAACAATGACAATCAATATCAAATGCATTAAAGTATTTTATATGCCATTATTTTAATTAGTTCCTACAGAATCAATGAAAACGTTTAATAAAAGTTTAAAAGAAAATAATAAAAAATTATTGGTCAAAGTAAACATTCGAAGACCTTGTAAATACAACGAAAATTGCAATTAAAAATTAAAATACTCTGAAAAAATAAATAAAATAAAATAAAATAAAAGGTGATGTTATTATTGTTGTTCTTTTTTAATAATCAATTAAAATGACTATTTTTCTATTAATTTCTCAACCATTTAATCAGTTATATACAACCAATAACCGAAGTAGAAGATTTTGGAAAGAAAAATAATAATAATATAAAAACATTAGTCAAACTAAATATAGACACTCACTAAAAAAGACATCAAGAAAGAAAAACAACAGAAAAAAACAAACAAACAAACCAAAGACCAAAGGAAGCAAAAGGTTGTAATTTAACAGCTGAAGAAAGACCCAGAAATCCCATTAACATCCATAATAACCATGATATATTTCCAGTGTTTGCATGCCAAAAATAATGCCACTCTGCTCCAATTAGAATCCTTTTCCCACAAAGTAAAAACCCCCCAAAAGCCAGAGGTCTCCTCCTTAGATAATCCTTACAGACGATACCCTGTGGACTCATCCAAATCCACCAGAACAGCACCACATGCTTTATAAAGAAAATACGCTCTCACTGGCCACTTTATTAGGTACACCTGTCCAACTGCTCATTAACGCACATTTCTAATCAGCCAATCACATGGCAGCAACTCAATGCATTTAGGCATGTAGACATGGTCAAGATGATCTGCTGCAGTTCAAACTGAGCATCATAATGGGGAAGAAAGCGGATTTAAGCGACTTTCACACATGGTATGGTTGTTGAAGCCAGACGGGCTGCTCTGAGTATTTCAGAAACTGCTGATCTACAGGGATTTTCACGCACAACCACCTCTAGGGTTTACAGAGAATGAGTCGACAAAGAGGAAATATCCAGCTAGCGGCAGTTCTGTGGGCGCAAATGCCTTGTTGATGCCAGAGGTCAGAGGAGAATGGCCAGACTGGTTCCAACTGACAGAGAGGCAACAGTAACTCAAACCGTTTAGTTATTCAGCTATACCACATTACAATATGTTAAAAACACATGCATTAAGAAATGGACTGTTGTTGTTTATCATAAAGGATATTGCTAAATGATTTTATTTGGATAAGCTCAGACATTTTTAGTTCAGACTGAAGAGTATTCCTGGATGAGGGCACGGAAGGCTCGCTTCCCTATTTCATGCCGCCCCCTCATTCTGGAACAGAGGTCTGCAGAGGTGCTTCTCTGAACACCCAACACGTCCAACCTTGAGGCGGTTGGGCTACAGCAGCAGAAGACCACACTGGGTGTCACTCCTATCAGATTGGTGGTGGCTCATTAGTACCAATTGAGCATCGTGTCAACGCCACAGCCTACCTGAGTATTGCTGCTGACCATGTCCATCCCTGTATGAGCACAGTGTCTCCATCTTCTGATGGCTACTTCCAGCAGGATAACACACCATGCTATAAAGCGTGAATCATCTCAGACTGCTTTCTTAAACATGACAATGAGTTCACTGTACTCAAATGGCCTCAACAGTCACCAGATCTCGACAAATCTGCAGCAACTGTGTGATGCTATCATGTCAATATGGAGCAAAATCTCTGAGGAATATTTCCAGTAGCTTGTTGTATCTCTGCCATGAAGGATTAAGGCAGTTCTGAAGGCAAAGGGGTCCAACCTGGTACTAGTAAGGTGTACCTAATAAAGTGGCCGTTGAGTGTGTATAATATTATAAAACTGAGTTCCGGTTCTTGATTATGATTGGTTGAGAAATGCTCTAAACTTTTGTAAAATACTCTACAAACATACACCTGTACTGTCTCAAAAATAAACTGTTATTTATGTTTATTTCGTTTTGTGAAACTTATGAAAAAGCCTCATGATGCCGTGCTTTACACTGGTTTTAGGACACAACAGTTGTAGGCACTTTTTTGGGCACGTTACTTAAAGTAATTACAGTTGCTAGTTGAACTGTATAAGACAGCGCAGAGCAGTTTGAGAGCAGTGTTGCTGTACCTCCGTTGATGACGGCGCTGATGTCTCCGTTGATCAATCCTCCAGGACAGCTCTGCAGTTTGACAGCCACAGCCTCCAGACGCACCACTGCCCGCTCCAGACGACCAACCAGAGCCTCCATAACAAACACTC